AAGGTCATCTAAATATATCAGCTAAAGTCTACAAGTTTTCACTCATTGATCAAAATTTTTTTTTTTTCAATTTTTTACTGTCGTTTTTTTTTTTTTTTTTTGAGAAATAAAAACTTTTAAAGAAAACTGTTTGTCAGTTTACCGTAAAAATTTTGTTTTTAACTACTTTTCAAAACAATCAAGAAATTTATTGCCAAAAAATTGATGCTCTATTCAACAGAACATTTTTCACATATGCTTTCTTGCTGTATTTCAGTTTTAGAAAAAAAAAAAAACTTTTATTGTTGTAATTAGCAAATTTTTATTAAATTTTTTTTTTATCACAATATAAAAAGATATAAAAATTTTTTACAGTTTTTTGTGACAAAAAAAATTTATAGTCATTTTTTTCAGTCATAACTTTCTTCGACTTCAAAAGTTTTTAATTACAGTATATAATCTTTTAAAATAGCAGTTGCAGCGCAAATCCAGAATAATTATCAACAGTTCTTAAGTTTTGCGATACACACTAAAACCATAAAAATTACTGTTCTCTTAAAATTAATGAAAAAACGAGGCAGAAAAAGTGATATCTGTTTGATAGTTACAACTAAATATTTACACTTAACATCTGTTAAAAGCAAAAACAGTGAAAAAAAAAAGTGTACATTAAAAACAGCAAAAATTAGAGTTTATTTACTGTTTCTTTTTGTCAAAGATGTTAAAGCGAAATCTATGTTTACAACAGCAATAATTAATTTTGAAAAATTGTATGTATTAGTATCGCAATTATTCACTGTAATTTATTATCACTGTAATTAATAAAGTAGAAATTTTTTTTTGCCATCTGAAAGCAGAACTTTTAGTATGGTTTAGTTGGAAGAAACAATGTTTAGTAGAATTGTTAATAAGTAAGGTTTACAGAAAAAAGAAGTTCTTCTTAACGGAGTATATTGTGCTGCAGATCAGCTAATCAGTCTTAATTATATCAGTTGTTTTCAGTTTCTTATATTTTAATGTCCACTACAATAATCTGTAAGCTAAGGGTTACGGTTGCTCTTAGTGTATAATTATTCCTGTTATACTGTTGATACCGTTTATAGATAGTCCAAAAAATCATCATATATTTATCACTAATTTTTTATTAAAATTACAGTTGAATTCAACATAAAGATGTATGTTATTTATTAAGTTTGTTGTTAATCCCGTAACACGTTGTATTTGGTAGTTTGTAAGTGAAATAAAAACTTCAAATGTATTAATGTATCAATGAGCAATTTGTATTTCACGTATTTCAGGTATCTTCTTGCCAATTTTTTTCTTGTTCTGCTTAAATAAAGAAACATTTGAAACAGTTAAAAACAAAAACAAAATAAAATTCAATTTTTTTGTTTTTGTTTTAAAATTTTTGCTCGTTACAATCAATTTAACAACATATGGTGACAAAAAAAAAAGACGAAGAAAAAAAAAGCAGAAAAAAAAGAAAGGTAATATTGAACAGAGAAGAAAATGTGTGTATTTAAGGCATAAATTTCATTAAGACAATTACTGAACAGCATTCAGAGTCTTGCCTAGTCGAAATTTTTGCAATTATGCAAACAGGTCGATTGCTTTTGTGCTCCGACTCAACAGCACTTTTTACTCAGTGCGGTCAAACAGTTCAAAAAAGGCTAAATTCCAGGTTCACTTTATTTTATTTTACTTTTAACCTTTCTTTTTTCTGCAAGTTCTTCCTTCTTTGCCACTTCTGTCATTGTCACTATAGACAACAGTCATCTCTTTTATTACAGTAGCTGTTACTTACCTTTACTCTTCCTCAAAATATTAGGCAATAAAGCATTTAAAAAAAATGCTTTTATTTGATCAGTGTAAATTTGCAATGATAATGAAACCACTTTTTTTGGTAGCAACACTAGACTACAGAAAGAAATTTTCAGTCATTTCTGTTCAATGTATAAATGCTAATTTTTGATATCATTACAGTAAAATAGCTACCTATCTTTTTCTCTCTTTCTTTCAAACTGTAACATTCAAGATTTCTTTGTACATTTAAAATTTACAATGAAAGTATATTTTGGACCACCATCGCTTAATAAACTAAACAAGCGGGTTCAAAAAATAAAAAAAACATTCGAGATTTCTTTGATAGGAGAAAAAAATGAATTTTTTAAAACTATTTATTACTTGTAATATGGGATATATTAGTTGCATTTAAACGATTTAAAGATGGTATAAACGAACATCAGATCAGTAATACCGAGAGAACAGCCGGTTTAAGCAGAACTGTATTGAAGAAAAGCATCAGGTGTAACTGTATTGAAAAAGATGGCACTTAAATCTTTGGTTAGTTAACAGATATCTTGAAACACTTTTATTAATCAAAATATTGACGGAATCTCTAGGTTTTTTTAACGCTTGTATGAGTGAAAAAAAAAATTTGATAACTTACCAAGCAAATTGCCAGAAAAAAAAAA